CGTCAGAGAATTAAGAGCGGGGCGCGAGGACAGACACGGCCGCAACCGATCGCTCTGCTCGCTCTTCCTTTTCGAAATCTTCTGCCGAGGATGACGTCCACTTGTGTGCACTAGGCTTCTTCGTCGTCTCGCCGTCACATCTCCTCAGGGGGTATGTACAGTGCTTCACCGTGACTTGCAGCGACTACTCTCTCTGCTTTTTTTCCCCCCTCCGCTTGCTCCTCCGTGTCCGTGGAAAATAACACAACAGCCTCTTTCAGCTTCACTCTCAGAGGCGGTCAGCTGCTGCATTGTGTGCAATATCCGCTAGTGAGTCATCAAACTCGTTCCACCGCGATTGAGAATAAACTTTATGATTTTGACCGAAGCGAGCTCAGTCAGCAAGGACAAAAAACCTATCTCTCGAGGGGCGCCCGAGGCTCGCCTCCAACCCTAGCCCTGAAGGGCCCCACCCCACCCCACCCCGCCCCTCCCCCGCCCGCCTGCCCCTCCCACTCCTCTTTCCCCACCACGACCAAATCTAGATATGCCAGCCACCTCACCCCCAAACCCAACCTTGATGGGCTTCCCCACCACGCCACTGCCGCCAGCCGCATCTCCCGCCGCCGGGGTCCACACCATCCCCGGCCACCTCCCCTTCAACTACCCTTCCTTCCCCCGCGGCCATCCTCCTCTGCTCCATGCGGGGACACCCGCCCTTGCTGCGACTCCTCCCTGTCGAGGACGCCGCCGCTGGCGTCCGCCGCGCCCGAAACGGCGGCCATCTCCACCTCACCTCCCCTCCAACCTATCCCCAGCGCGACCCCCCTTCTCCGTGGCGCTGTCCTGACGACGGAGCCCGCGCAGGGGATGGGAAGTCGTCGTGCCGCACCGACCGCGCTCCGCAGGAGCTGGGGTCGACGGGCGGGACGCCTCCACCGAGCACCATGCAGTCGACGATGCACGCCGGCGAAGGGAGCGCGTGTGACAGAACTAAGGCTGTCGTTGATCTGCTCACATCCGAGCAACCCGGGTCCAAGGCCGGTTCTTTTGGACCTGTGGGCACCCCGGAGGTCGTCGCGGCGCCCGCGGCCAGCTCACTCTCGCCGGTCACGGCCTGTTCTACCCAAGCGGCTCACCGAGAGGGCGTCGGTGAGCGGATGATGCCGGCAGCGATGAATCCGACGACGAGCAGCCTGCTGGCTCCTACCTTGATGCTGTTCGGCGGCCGGCGAAACCCTAGCCTCCCTCAGCCGTGGGCTCGGGATGCTACGGAGCGGACGGGGACCTCGATGTCGTTTGTCGCCCAGCAAAGTCAGTACCTGCATCCCCTCGCTCAATCGTGGTTCTGGGCCGTGCCGACGTGGAAGCGGGACGGTAGGGGCCTAGGCGGAGGCGGACGAAACACGGCCGGCCACGCCCCCAGCTGGTGCATGGCATGCCTGCTCGGCCTGTGGATGGCCGCGCCCCACCCGCCTACGCCTCGGACGTCGTGGGCGGGCCTCCGCTCCCAACCCCGATGGGGTCCACGATGCGGTGCCCGCCAGCGCATCTCCACCCCGGACACCGACGGCTGGCGTGAGGTCCTGACACAGGGGTCGTCATGTAGCGCTGGCGGGCCCGCCCTGCCCACACTGCATTGGCGAACCAGCGGCCCCCTACCCGCTACCCGGCGGACCTACACTGGAAGTGCTTCAACTTTCTCTCCACCGCGCACAAGGTGGCTACCTGCAAGCTGCCTCCACGTTGCCTCCGATGCAAGGGGTTCGGACACCTCGCGCGGGACTCTAAGCGACGGCGGAAGGTGCCTCCTTCGAGCTCCGGCACATCTGGTGCCACAGAAGGCTGGCCACGACGACTTGTCCGGGAGCATACCTCGAGCACCCAGCAGCGTACTCAAGGCGACATACCAAGCTCGGCTGGAGCTGTGCCAAGTGCGGATGCAGCTATGCTAGGTGCGACTGCGCGCGGCGGCAGTGGGCGCATACGTCAGAGACATTGGAGACGTTAGCAGCGACTGAAGTGGGGCGACACCACTGCGGCAACGAGTGTCGCCACCGACAGTCATGGGCGGTCGGCAGGGGCCACCCAAACGGCACTGGACTTCACCTCGGTCGCTACCGAAGATCAGGCAAGGCACGGTGAGCTGATCAAGGAGACAGGCATCATCGAGCCCGACCCGTTGACCCTGACGTTGTACCCGGACGCCACGCATGATCGCGACATCACGGAGGATCCGATGGTTGAGAAGTTCGCAGCCTCGCTTGTCGACAGTCAGATCGTCGTGTGGCCTTCCCTTGAGCGTCTGTCGTCACCTTCGGTGCCCACCCAGCTATAGGATGAGTCCTCGGCGGCGGCGGCCCACCAGCTGAAGGATGAGGACCCAGCGGTGGTCTCCTGTGAGCAGACGCCTCCCTCGCACCCCATTCAGTGGGCGGTGGACTTGCCGAAGACACACACGAAGCTCAGTCACCCGCCAGGCTTCGGACCAGTCCACCTCAGTTCACCACTGGTGGATGCTGGTCCTCCCAGTTCACCACTGGTGGATACGACTGTGGACGACGACGATTCCGCCAAACGCCGCCTTGACAACTTCATCAACAAAGTGACGCGTAAGCGGGAATCTCCGCTGATTCGTGAGCCTCCCGAGCAGCCTCCCGCTAAACCGGTAATGATGTGGCGGAGCAGGCGGTTGGCGGCTCAGAGCCTCTCCCGAGTACCGGCTTCCAAGCGAGGTGAGATGTTGATCATGCAGCTTATGGGCTACACCAAGGGCCCTTTAGTGCCATCCGCGTCGGAGCTGGAGGCCTTTGACAAGCTATTCGACGGCAACCTGACTGCGTCCAACACCGAGGCACTGGACACGCTCTTCCCGGCCGTTGAAAAGGGCTCGTCCAGGCAGCCGCGAAGACGCAAGGCCACCTCCTAGGTCGCAATGCTGCGTCGATATTGGTCGTTAACTTTTATGTAATATCTAAACAAGAGGGCTTTTGCTAGGATGGTCCAGCTTCAACTTTGTTAGGTCGACCTCCTTCGACGCTCGATAGAAGCGCGTTGTATGTTTGTTTAAACTCTTCTACTTAATATAATGACACGCAAATGTTTTGTGTATTTGGGAAAAAAAAACTCTATGCTGGTCTGTAATGTGCTGCCACTGACAGCTCTGTGTGCTTTCTATAAAAGCTGGATATTAACTCTGTAAAAAAAGGGACAAACTCTGTGCCAGTTTTTCAAGGAAGAGCTAGGAGCCCTGCTCCATGTCTCCATGGCAATGATCACCAAGCAAACAAAGCAAGCTGCCATTGCCAACGCCACGTGCACCGGTTCTTCTCCCATGAGCTCGGTGAAAATCTCGTCCGCGGTAAAGAAACTTGTTTTTTGTTTTGTTTTTGAGACCGTGCTTAGAACGTTTTTCATTAAGAGGTGGAGGAAAAACTTGGGTTGAGAAGAGGAGCCACGGATTCAGTCTCCAATTCCATGTCGTGATCACGAGAAAGCGGCGGAAACACGGTGCTGGTCATGTAAGTCGGCTTTGAGTTTCGGTTTGCTTGTGCAATCATTCAAAAAGTTTCTGCCTGTGCATTTTCAGGCTTAGAGTTTTCAAGATAGCTACCTTAAAAATCAAAAAAAGGAAAAAAAGATTATGTACACAGTACACTAGTAGGAGTAGAAGTACTTGATAATCTTGAAACAAGAAAAGACCGTATTACAAACTCTTGAAGAACGTGTGCAGACACAAACTTTGTTCTACTGTACTACTTCAACTTTTCAGCGAATCAACGATATTTTTCTCTCACATCATTTCAGCATAAGCCAAATTTCAGACGATCAGAGCCAATATAGTAGTACCTATATATACAAGCTTAACCCCTGTGCGTCCAATGCAATTTGGACGACATAATTCGGTGTAAAAGTGTTATTATTATTATATAATACGATGAAAACAACAACACTTCTCGATTTAGCGTGTGGTCCCGTTTGTTTGTTTCCTTCTGATTCTGATTGAGAGAGGGGGGAGAGAGGAAAAAAATCAGAACTTGTTAAAGAAGAGAACGGCTATGAGACAGCAGTGGATAATGGTACAATGATGCAGCTCATCGTTGGAAAATATGATTAGCGGCTGGCACTTTGGGTGTGCAACTAAAAAGTATTAATAAACAATTAATTGAACCACTACTAACCAGGAGTTAGCAGTTACTAGTAGGCAGTGGTACTTGCTTGAGATGTAGAGCTTGCTTCCCGGCCTTGACTGCCTTTCTCTCTCCTCTCTCTTCATCTGGCTCTATTCACGTGCCCTTAAATCTTGATTTAATTTATTTATTTTTTTTATTTAGAATAGTGTTTTTTTTTCTTCTCAAATTTCTCCGACCATCATTCCAAACCATCCAGATTCGTTTAAAATTCGGAGAAGCGACAGGCTCAGTCCGTCTCTCTCTATATTTTGCTGCCCTCATGTCAGCTGCAGCAGTCTGGGGGAATCTGAGCCTGCTGCTCACCTGAGAGCCTGTGGCTGTGGGTGTGGAGGCAAGCGCTGCAGAGGCTGCAGAGAGGAGCGAGGGGAGGGAGACGACGAGCCTGTGCCTGTCGAGCTGTGCCGATTTTGCCCCCGAATCCGTCGTTACCCCAGCTTTGGAGGGATCTGAAGCTGCTGCTGCCTGCCAAAGCCCAGAGGTGAGTGTCTGACCGGATGAATTCGGCAATCTTGTGGTGCTGCTGCTGCCGTGCTGCTGGTTGGGTTCCCTTTCCCTGCAAGAATTTCTGAGGCGGAGGAGAAAACAAAAATCCTCCCTTGCTTTTCTCTCCTCCCCCTTCCGCTGCTTCTTTTCCCCAGCCTTTTTCAGACTCTGATCATGATGGTGGTGGTGATGGCGGCTGTGCAGCGGAAAGGCTTGTCGTGCTAGTGGAGGAGGCGTGAAATTTCATCCATAAAGCCTGTTGCGGTGGGTGAGTGGAGATCGCGCTCAATTCCTGCTGAAATCGCCTCTCCGGGGTGGTAGTAGCGTGGCCGTGGGAGGTGGGAGATGATTACTTTCGTGGACTCGGCGGCCATGGAACGGGAGCGGGAGAGTGACACGTGCCTGGACCCGCAGCTGTGGCACGCCTGCGCCGGCGGGATGGTCCAGATGCCGCCGGTGCACTCCAAGGTGTACTACTTCCCGCAGGGCCACGCGGAGCACGCGCAGGGCCCCGTCGTCGACCTCCCCGCCGGCCGGGTCCCGGCGCTCGTCCTCTGCCGCGTCGCCGCCGTCCGCTTCATGGCCGATCCGGACACCGACGAGGTCTTCGCCAAGATCCGCCTCGCCCCCGTCCGGCCCAACGAGCCGGGCTACGCCGCTGACGCCGACGACGCCATTGGCGCCGCGGCGGCGGGCGGCGCGCAGGAGGACAAGCCCGCGTCCTTCGCCAAGACGCTCACGCAGTCCGACGCCAACAACGGCGGGGGCTTCTCCGTGCCGCGCTACTGCGCCGAGACCATTTTCCCGCGGCTGGACTACTCCGCCTACCCGCCCGTCCAGACCGTGCTCGCCAAGGACGTGCACGGCGTCGTCTGGAAGTTCCGCCACATCTACCGCGGCACGCCCCGGCGCCACCTGCTCACCACCGGGTGGAGCACCTTCGTGAACCAGAAGAAGCTCGTGGCCGGGGACTCGATCGTGTTCATGCGGACGGAGAACGGGGACCTCTGCGTCGGCATCCGGCGCGCCAAGAAGGGCGGCATCGGAGGGCCGGAGTTCCTGCACCATCACCAGCCGCCCCCGTCACCGGGCGGCGGCTACGCCGGCTTCTCCATGTTCCTGAGAGGAGGAGAAGAGGACGGCGGCAAGATGATGGCCACGGGCGCGGCCACGAGGGGGAATAAGGTCAGGGTGCGGGTGCGGCCGGAGGAGGTCGTCGAGGCCGCGAACCTCGCCGTGAGCGGGCAGCCGTTCGAGGTGGTGTACTACCCGAGGGCGAGCACGCCGGAGTTCTGCGTCAAGGCGGGCGCGGTCCGCGCGGCCATGCGCACCCAGTGGTGCGCCGGGATGAGGTTCAAGATGGCCTTCGAGACGGAGGACTCGTCCAGGATCAGCTGGTTCATGGGCACTGTCTCCGCCGTGCAGGTCGCTGACCCCATCAGATGGCCCAATTCACCCTGGAGGCTTCTTCAGGTAAATAAACCAACCTCCATAACTGGCTCTCATCTCAAGGACGGCATCTCAAAGTTCCTTCCAGCTTCTCATCACTTCAATCAAGTTTAGGAGGAGCGTACAGACTACAGAGTAGTTTGCGACAATGCATGCTGATCACTTCTTTTTCTTTTGGCAGGTCGCTTTGGATGAACCGGACTTGTTACAGAACGTGAAGAGAGTGAGCCCATGGCTGGTTGAGCTTGTCTCAAACATGCCAGCCATCCACCACCTCACGCCGTTCTCGCCGCCGCCGAGGAAGAAGCTGTGCGTTCCACTGTACCCGGAGCTTCCGCTCGAGGGCCACCAGTTCCCGGCGCCGATGTTCCATGGAAGCCCTCTCGGCCGTGGTGTTGGCCCGATGTGCTATTTCCCGGATGGCACTCCTGCAGGCATACAGGGAGCCAGGCATGCTCAATTTGGCATATCTTTATCAGATCTCCACCTCAACAAGCTGCAGTCGAGTCTGTCACCGCACGGGCTTCACCACCAGCTGGACGGCCACGGCATGCAGCCGAGGATCGCCGCCGCTGGCCTCATCATCGGCCACCCGGCAGCAGCTCGAGATGACATCTCGTGCTTGCTCACCATTGGCACCTCCCCACAGAACAAGAAATCATCATCAGACGTCAAGAAGGCGGCAGCGGCGGCGCCACCGCAGCTGATGCTCTTCGGGAAACCGATTCTCACTGAGCAGCAGATATCTCTAGGCAATGTCGCGGGCTTCCCGCTGCCGAAGAAGAGCCCTTCTGATGACATTGCCGGGAGGACGGTGAGCAACTCGGATGTCTCCAGCCCTGGGAGGAGCAACCAGGATGGCACGTCCAGTGGCGGCGCCCCGTCGTCGTGCCAGGACAACAACGTGCCTGATCTCGGGCTGGAGACCGGGCGCTGCAAGGTGTTCATGCAGTCGGAGGATGTTGGGCGCACGCTCGACCTCTCTGCTGTTGGGTCGTACGAGGAGCTCTACCAGAGGCTCGCCGACATGTTTGGCATCGACAAGGCTGAGCTGATGAGCCATGTCTTCTACCGCGACGACGCTTCTGGAGCGCTCAAGCACACCGGCGACAAGCCTTTCAGGTCCGTATGATTTCAGCTTGAAGCGTTCTGTTCCTGTTTTCAATCATCGTTGGATTTTCTTTAGGAATTGGTTAGGAATCGATTAGTTATGTTGTTCGTTGGATAGCCACAATGTTTCAAGTTTAAGTTCCAGATAATTTGCATTGCAAATATGCATTTCATGACCTCAACAAGCTGACCATGTGTATCAAAGAACATCGAAATGGCTGTTCCTGACCGTGCTAAACCTTTCAATCTTCAGGTCGTACTAGTACAACCTAACTAGACACGGTTATCTTGAAGTATCAAACTCTAGGTGTTCTTTCCTTGGAAGCATTCATATGGTACTTTGACTTGAATTGCTTCAAGCCAGGACTAGTACATCTTGCACCCATGTGGTTGGATGGAGCCTGGAGGAGACCCTTTTTTTTTCTTATGTCCCACATCGTCCCCTTGTTGTTTTGAACAGATGATAACAACTATTCCATAGAACAGACAGGGATCGATCATGGATGTTACTAATGTATGCATGTACTTCTGAATTTGCAGTGAGTTCACGAAAACCGCCCGGAGGCTGACCATACTAACGGACGCGAGGAACGATAGCTTAGCGACGTAGGAGGCATGAACGTCTCGTCACTCTGTACAGCGGGAGGAGCGCGGTGGCGATCTCGAAGGAAGAATCGCCACTTCCAAAGTGCTGGACTGCTGGTGCAACTTCAAAGAGAGAGAGGCAGTTCAGTTTGGTTTTCGTCGATTGGGATTTGGGAGGCGCCCTGGAACGGGACCAAGTGCGTGCGTGCGTGTAATCCAGGACCAAAGATTTATCGGCGGATTTGTCGGACTACTAGCTCTCTACACACCTTCTTCTTTTGCTGTTGTCAGTTCAAGTGGCCATTGCAGTTGCCTTTGGTCACTGACTGATCATATGTTATGTACCTCTGCCATGAACCCCGTTGCTTTGCAAACGCGATTACTGAAAGTTTTGGTATAATCAGGGCTTCCCCAACGCTACCTCTTTTTACCGGTAGTAGCCCCAAGTGACATTGATGATTGGATAAAAAAGTAGGTGCTTACATTTGTCATAGTGACTTGCAGAAGCTACATATGCTTAGGGAGAGAAGGTGGTTCATACTTAAAAAAAGATGGAGAGGAAATAAAGGTGAGGTATGATGAAATAAAAAGTTTCTTCCAAACCATAAGTAATGATAGTTTGTATTGTGTGTATAGTAGTCTCAATATTTTATAGTTTATATGGATCATTTTATTTGTACTAGAACCACTATAAATGTTAGCCTTCATTTCTTGGTGCCCTTTAGGGCTTTGGTTGGCTGGCTGGTTGGTTGTCTGAGATGCCGAAGTGTTCTCTGTTCTTGCTGTGTGCCCCTGTCTGTTCTGTCTGTACTCCATCAAATAAAAATTCATGGAGTGCTCGGTGCTCTCTCAACCTCACAGGAAAGTCAGGATGGACTGGGATTGGTGGACTTGGTTCTCGCATCAAATTCATCGCATTCCACCGTCAGTCCGTCGGTGTTGCTGTCGTGTCGGTCGTTTCAGCTTTTTGTTGTCTGTAACTGTAAGAATGTTTTTGACGCGCTGCGACGACAGTCACACAGTACTACTTGTCAGTTGTCACGTCCATGCTTCTTGTTCCGGGGGAATCCTACGGAGATCCTCCCCGGAAGGAGAGGGCCAGGCCCGCCCACGACGGAGTCGACCAGCCAGGCCGCGCCGCGCCGTGCGGACGTCAGGACGTGATCCAGTGAAAGCCCCAGCTCTGCCTGGGACAATGGTACGCACGCACGCCGTCCTCCCTACGCCTTTCACCTTTTACTGCCGTTCCCGTTCTCTGAACTGAGCTGCAACTGCGCTGCTACCTGCCAGTAGTAGTCCTGGCGTCCGTTGTTCAGTGATCTTTCCTGGAGTTGATAAGTACTCTCATGTCTAGTCCCACGGTCCGCTTTTTTTATCCTCTGAGATTCATCTGTGCACGGGTGAAAAGCGTGAAAAGTAGTTACCGGCAGAAAGGAGGTACACTCGACCCGTACCCCTTTACGGCTTTACCTTTACCCACCCTCGCCTGCACGTGTAAAAAGCACTAGAAAAGGTGCACCTGTCTTTTACCGTGTCAAACAAAATAGCGTGCGTGCCTTTTGCCGCCTGGACGCCTGGTCCCTCTACGAACGGGAGGAAGAAGCAGAGCAAGCAAAGGCGCAGCAAAGCAAGCAAACCACGTCAGCTTCAACGTGGACGTACGCTGCCGCACACCTAAGACTGTCTCCAACGGCAAGAACGTAAAAACGAGATCTATTTCATGATTTGAGTCACGTACAGGGAAAGAGTCACGCCCCTCCCCCAAAAAAAACTTCCTTCTCCAACAGCGAAGACTCCCGTCCGGTGCCGCTTGCTCCTCCATCTTCGTCTTCCCCACGGCCGGCCACCGAGCTACGAGATCCGGCGCGAAGAACAACGATGCCTCCACTGAAGAACAGCGATGCTGCAAAGAACGAACAGAAAAGACAACGTACGAACCGAAGAACAAACAGAGAACGACGGACACAAAATCAACCAAAAATCGGTCAAATCACAATCATTCGTTCCCAAACTTTGCACTGGCCATCACAAGGAAGTTGTCGAGCTACTCCTAGAAGATCATGGCTCAAACCAACCTCAATCTCTGGGAAAAACATATCATGGCCAAGAACACGAAAAAGTCCCCAAAAACGAAATTCAAAATTCAAGCTGAATTCGTGAAGGATTTGGAGGGGGGTCATATCAAAGATGCTCCCTAAGGTCCTAGCAACATTTCCCCTCAACCAAATCCACGAGATTCGGGCTCAAACACGAAGAACAAAAAATCCCCCAAAAAGGGCTCCGAAAATAGGAAAAAGAAAAACGCACGGGAATCAAAAATTTAGCACAAAATTAGACAACAAGCACAACTAAATCAAGAAGGCATCATCTTTACAAGATGAGGACTAGCCTCCTCCTTTCATCCACCCACTAAAAATGAAGAAATCAAGAGAAAAGAGCCCGGAGGTGGGCGACGGGAGCGAGGGCGCTCCCAGATCCGGCGAGGCAGCCAAGCCGGCGGCTCCGGAGGTGCTCCCACGGTGCCGCCCGACTCCCTCCCCGCCTCGCCGTCGTCGTCGGCCCCCCCTCGCCGGTGAGCTCCCTCCCCTGCGCGGTCGCGCCGGACTCCCGCTCCCGCCTTGCCTCCTTCACACCGTCGCGTCGCAGAGACATGGGTCGAGGAGAGAGAAGGACGTTTTTTTGCGTTTTCTTTGGGCTGGTAGCCAAAATGCGTCGTGTGAATGGGTCATCCGTTGGAGCCGATATTTGACAGGCAAAGCACTGTGCGAGACTCTTTTTTGGGTTTGGGTAGCTCTGTTGGAGTCGGTCTAACCAGATCCGTTCTAGGTGATGAGATGACGAGGCGTTTCGGTCCTAGTAGGTTTTTTTTTTGCTATCCAATCAGGTAACCAACCAACCTGCACTGTGCACTGCATGTCGAACGCTCGAGGATCTTGGCATATCTGCCGTGCTCCTCTTGCAGGACTGTACGAACTCGCATTTGATCTCTACCGCGAGCTACGTCGTCTACACCGTAGCGTACATACTGTAGCTACTAGTACGGCACTGCCGGCTGCCTCATCTCGTTAGTCGTTATCCTCTTCCTCTGCTACACGTACGGGTGGGTGAAAAGTAGAAACGGAGCTACTGTGCGTACCGACAGACAGACGCGCGCGGTGAAACCTCGGCGAATCTATCGCAGCCGTCGTATCCATACGTGCATGCATGGATGCACGAACCCGGCCTCACCGTTAGCCGCGCGCGTCGTCGTCGTCGTCGTACGTGTGCACGTAGCTTGGAATTCAGAGAACGCACACGCACACGCACGGCCGTCGCACGAGACAGAAACCGTTAGGTGTGTAGCTGGACACGGCTATAGCTAGCTAGCTTGTCGTATTAGGGCAATAGGATCGATCCATATTGATGGTGAGTACGTATGTACCCGTACCGGCATTCCGCGACGAGAAGCAAAAGCCGGCCGGCGGGTGCTGGACTAGCTAGGCGGCGGCGCGCGCAAACGCGACGTACCGAGCTACTGTGGTCGCGGCGCGCTGCCCTGGACGCGCCGGCCGGTCCAGCGGCAGAGGTGCGGTGGCATGCATGGCCGGGCCGGCCGGCGGCTCGATCTGTTTCTTCCGCCCGGGCCGGGGACGCGTACGTGTGTCGTGCGTGCGCTTGCCAACAGGTTGCGTTGCATGCGACGCGTCGACGTCGTCGTCGTCTCGTGCCTTCCGGCTCGCTGACGGTACGTGCACAACTGTGTCGGGGTCAAAGCGATAACCGAGAGATTTTTGCCAAAAATAAAAGCGATAACCGAGACGCCTGCGGCTGCTAATCGCGATGACGGCCGGTGACAAGGACACGGTCGACCAGACGGCACCTACGTAACGTAACGTAATAAGCTGGCCTGGCCAGCCAATGCCCATGCGACGCGCGCGCGCGCCCATGCGCCCATGCGCCCGCCGGCTCGCAGCCCCTGCCGGTGCCCGGCGACGCCGTTGGAGAAACAATAATTATATTCTGGATGGGTTATATAAATCTTGACAATTAAGGATTTTCTCATGGCTTCGGTGGTACTAGTAACTGAATAAAGCATGGAGATATTCTTGTGAGTTACCATACTGGCACCCCTATGCAATAAAAATATATGTATCACACCCCTCGAGTTTGCTCCAACTTTGTACGTCCTTGTTTGTCGATGCAAGCTATTAAGAGACAGAGTAGACAATTGAGCGCATCATCAGAGCGAAAGAGAGGAAAATATACTATTTTAGGAATTTCCTAACCTAGAGACTCTTTTATAGTGTAATTTTTTTTCCCAATGTTTTGTAGGAGGAGGTTTGTCCGTGGATATATATGTGAAGAAAAATTCTCAATTCTTATATGAACTATCAATATGATACTAAATGATATGGTGTACCTTCTACCATCACTCCTACAGTTTGACACTAAAGTTAATTAAAAAAACATGTATATGCATATAATATATATGATGATAAGCATTGAAGGTTTATTAGAATCTTTACGTACCATACCGTCGCTGTCTGTTCGGCTGGTCTCGACTCGATGTCGTCGTGTCCGGATCGGGCACCTTACTAATGGCACGCTCCTTTCGTCCCTTTGCGGCGAGCCACTGGGCTGCGAGCGACGGGGACGATGTGTCGTGTCGTCTCGACGTCTCGTTTGTGTCGGCGAGCGAGTGGCGTCGCTGTCTGTTCGGCTGGTCTCGACTCGATGTCGTCGTGTCCGGTCCCTGTGGCGAGAAAAAAAAGGTACGTCGTTAGACGTTACGACGGACGAACAAAAAAAAGAAGGTGCTGATAGATGGACATTGTCACGTGGTGGGGTGAGGGAACGAATTCTCGCTGCAACGTCGTCTCTGTAGCACAGCAGTGACAGTGAGGCTGCTGCTGGGAAACTGATCCGTTCCCGTACCGGTTATTCTACACGGACGACGTGGGGCATGAAGAGCCGTTCTTGTGTACTCCTACAAATATATAGAGCGACATGTCAGGAAAGGCAAAACAAAACATCACGGGACAAAGT